GGTGCAGTTGGCGCAGGATAGAGCAGGGTTTAGGGCTGTTGTGCATAGGGTCGCTATGAGTCGCAAACGACTCGACGGCACATAACAACAACAACAACAAGGGTGAATCTAAGATAGTTGAGGTTTATAATTTTTATTTGCTAATACATGGTCAAAACTTTTCTATTTGACATGCCTTTTTTAGCAGAGTATTGATGTATTTCTTCCCTATTTATATGTACTTTGCAATTTATATAACACTTTGAAATACATTGTCTTCATTTAATCATTACAAAAACTTGATGAGATCAGAATTTTATTCCCCATTTTACAGAAGAGGCCGAATTTCAGAACAGTTGACTTGGACAAGGTCATTCTGTTTTTAAAGCACAGATTTCAGGACCTGAAGCATAGGTCTTCTCAAAACACTTTTATCATTTGCATATAAAACCATTAGTAAATCATTAATTTTCTGATAAATTGTGTAAAGAATTACATGGTGCTCCAGCTTTCTAGAATGCTTGTATTTTAATTAAAAAGTTTTATGGGAAATATGTTAATTAAGCACAAGTATCAATTTCCTAGTAAAATTTCAGGTACAAGCCTGTGAAGACAAGTGGGCCTTTTCAGATTTTTCTAACAAATCAGATAGGTCTAGAGAGCATTAGGCTGAGCGAACTAAGCAGTCTGATAAGGTCAAATATGGCATTTATTGTAAAAATAGAAGGATAAATAATAAGATGTGTATAAATGTCCAAAAGGAAAAAAGGGGAAAGGGTTGGAAAAGGGAAGATTGGAATCACGAGGATAACAGAGATTAATGGATGGAATGAGGGGGGATAGTGAGAGAATAGGGAAGAGTCAATAGAGACTTGAAAAGATGGCATGATAATAGACATAGATCAATGGTAATTAATTATGATACACAGTGTATATGAGGGATTGTATGGCATTCAATGTGTATGAATGAAGCACAATATAATTTACTGTATGAAAATCAATAAATCTATCTTAAAGAAAATACCTTGCTAATTAGGTTTTTTAAAAACTTTCATGGTAAATAAATCAAGGGTTGAGTAGTTTAAGACATTATGGTGGAAAATAGGATCATGAGGACCTTGAACATGTCTCTGTGTGTGTGTGTGTAGTCACACATTAGTTAATCTACTCAGGAGGGGTTGGGTTTGGATTTGTTGCTGTTTATTTGGATTTATTACTTGCCTTTTTTTACATTATGTTTTAATTGATTTGGTTTCAAAGTTTATATACATTGTGTTTCACACTATTCTTCATTCACATTGTATTCATACATGATTACTTCCAAGGAGCTCTTGTAGTGTAGTCTGTAAAGCGTTGAACTGCTATCCCTTTTTGTTTGTTTGTTTTTTATTATTATTAAATTTTATTAGTTTTAATGAACATTTACAGGGATTTTGGGTTTT